GCTGGCATGTGGTGCTGGGGGATTGAACCGCGCTCCCTGTGCTTTGCTGAGCTTGTTCTAAGTAGGTGCTTTAGACCACTGAGCCATCTCACCAGCCCCCTATGGTATTTTAAATATTACAGTGTAGACTAGGAATTGTGAAGCAACTTTCTTCAGTGCATATATTTTAATAGCAGTACATGTAAAACAATACTTGACTGCTGTTGGTGAGCTTTTGCTGCAGAAACTGAACACTCAGATTCTCAGTGGCTGCAGGAGTGAATATAGCTGTTCCATGAGGGCTGTTAGTCAGGTGTGACTATTCTGGGTATTAGCTGTATGTCGCCTCCACCTGTCTTCTCATTCTGGGATGTGGCAGACTTCAGAAGTTCTAGAGGCTATGCTAAAGTACACATTTATAAAATTTCTGCTTAGGTGATATATATTTATATTCTATTGGCCAAAGCATTTATGTAACCAGATTTAAAGATAGTAAAATAAGATTATATTCCCCTATGGGAGAAGAGTGAGAACTATACTATACAATTTGTTACAGTGTCTAAAAAAAAAAAAAAAAAAATTCGCCATCCTGGCATTCTTACATGATACTTCATTGAATTTTTTTTAACATTTTGTGTGTGTGTGTGTGTGTGTGTGTGTGTGTGTGTGTGTGTTTATTTTTTTGTGGCCAGCTCAGCCCACATGGGGGCGGGGATGGCTGGCATGTGGTGCTGGGGGATCGAACTGCGGTCCCTATGCTTTGCTAAGCTTGTTCTAAGTAGGTGCTTTAGACCACTGAGCCATCTCACCAGCCCCACTTCATTGAATTTTATGCTGGAGAATTTTTTACTTACTACAGAATACTGGACTGAAGGATGGCAGATCTAGATTCTTCTATTTATCAAGCTTCTATTACTTTACAGAGTTTTTCAGTACATCAGCTTTTGTGTAAGAGTACAGAGAATAACTGTATTATGCCTTCTATATGGATATGTTCTAAGGACAGAATGGAAGGAGAAGTCTGTAAGAATCCTGTGTGTGAGATGATGTTGTTTGAGGACAGGATGACAGTAGCAGTAGAAATGGAAGAACATGGCTTTCGTTTGGGTATATGTTGGAGGCTAAGGCAGTACAACTTCTTGATGGATTAGATGTGAGAATAAGAAATATAGTGATATTAAAAATGGTTGCACAATCTTGTAACCTGAGCTGAGACTCACATTTTGTAAGGCAAGAAGGTGGAGCAATTTTAAATGAGAGAGTCAGTCAACAATTTTGTTTGGAAGTGTAAAGTTTGAAATTGTTGTTATATATCTTACAAAGAGATATTAAGTAGGCAATGACTATTACTAGATTTTAATGTACTGTGATATATTTATAAACTATTTCATAACTTAAAACTGACACTTGCTTATAGAATCTTAAAGAAGATTAGTGTACTGTATTCAGAACAGGGGCTGTAATTCATGTCTTTCTGCCAGGCAGCTTGAACCACCAGCGATACATATCTCTCTC